GGAGGGAGAAGAGGCCAAAAGCCGCAGTGGCGGGGGGGCCCCCCGCCTGTGTGGCTTTGCTCCGGGGCAAAGGAGCAAAGCCGCGCGGGCAGCGGGGTCCCACCGCCTGTGCGGCTTTGCTCGGGTCTCCCTGCTGTGCTGGGGAGTCCCCCCCCCAGCACACCAGGGAGACCCGGAGCTGCTTTTCTCGCCCCGGAGGATGCGGTGGCGGGACCGCTGTGCTCTGGGCGATCCTGCCGCCCACGAGCTCCGGGGCGAGAAAAGCCCCGTTCGTAAGTGCGGATCCAACGTAAGTCAGATCCTCGTAAGTCGGGGACTGCCTGTATATGCACTGTAAAATGATAACATAAATTATATTGAATTGAAAAATTCACCTAGTACAAGTACTGAAGAGCAAGGCTTAATCAATTTTAATATTATGCGGGATGAAGAAAAGATATTTAAAAATAAATATACATAGAAAACAACTGTAGTAACAGAAGTTACATACTATGGCCCCTAGTACTGCTATAATTGAACCACTGTCGTGGAAGCTGATATCACAGACAGTACCCAACCTATGGCAGGTGCTGATTTGAAACCCTTTTTATGTGAGTTGATATTGTTCCATTGACTTCAGTGGGTTTTCAGTGAGCCTCCCTAGAACTAGCTGTAGGGAGAAGTGTGACAGTGTGTCATGTAGTTCAGTTCATTGGACATTGGAGTGTTTGGAACCATGTTTCTCTTTCTAGTGACTATTTAAACATATGTATTATTTGTTTGTATTCTTTAAGAGAAGGGGGCTGGAAAGAGGATTCCCTTAAGTTTTTTACTTCCCCATAAGTTGAATAGAAAGGAGCAGAGGCCAGGGGGTGATCTAGAAATACACAAACTGGAAGTCAGGTCAGCAGATCAGAGGGATCATCCATATGTAAAATATCTAGGTACTAGTTTGGGATGTGATCTCCAAGTGAGAAATACAGGAGCCAATTCTTGGGTGTCTGGGAATAGGGGTGAGTGTAGTTAATAGTGGATTAGAGTGCCCACTTATATAAGGATGTGAGGCAGGTCTTGTGTTGAATCTTTCCCTCTCTGCCTGCCTCTATGAACAGGAGTCTGTGGGGAACCTGTTGGAAGGAGAGGGAACAAGGCAAAAAGCATGCTCGATACGGATAATGTGTATTAACAGGGAAAGCTAGTTCTGTACCCCTTCTGTGGAAATTGATTCAGCTTTATCTATAACTGCCTACACAACTCAGGAAATATGTATTTGCAATTATTC